TGAGATAAATAATCACTAGTGATTGATTTGTGATTAAATCAATTTTGTGTGTGATTAATTTGATTTTTAGTGATGAAAGTGATTAATTTTTTTATATTAATTTTTGATTCTTTAGAATCTGAATCATAGATTCAGAAGTGCTCTCAAATAATTTCATGCTCAATGAACGTCGTCAACGATTTTGCAAGATACACCATGAAAATAAAAAAGATAGAATAGCAGCTCAGCACAGGGGTGGATCCAGAAAAAAATAGAGATTTGCCAACGAAAAAGGTTTCAAAAGTTTAACAACATTAACAGCTAAAAACAGAGATATCATTTCTGAACAGCAGCATAAGCAAAATATTAAATCATTATTATAGGTTGGTGACGTGGCCTGAAGTGAAAAAACAGTGAATAGTTGTTGATCACTTTGAATAAGACATTAACACAAATGCATGTGCTTTTTTCTGTGGGCGGTCAACTTTCATCATTAGAATTTGAATATGCATCAAAAAAGCTATCTTTCCTGAACAGTAGCATTAGCAACATGGATGCAAATAGCCTGGAATGAAAAAAACAGTGAACAGGTGTTGAACACCTTGTGAAAGGCATTATAACAAATGCATGTGCTCTGTTCTCTGCCCTTGCATGTGATGTTGCTATTGGAGAATTAAACTGTCATTCCTGAAACTTTCACCCATATAAAAGATTACAAGTTCCAGAAATATGGAACTTGATTATCAAGATTTATCTGTGGATGTAACATAAATGTAACAGTTGCAACTGCAAAATCCGGAACTGTCTGGATCTGCCCCTGTAGCAATAGATGAAAAATGATAAATATAGGGCTGCACACAATTTTTTTGGGTACTGGAAAATTTTAAAGGATCACCTGTTTTAAAATGTTGCTAAACAACGTTTTCTTTGAAATTTTGAAATGCTGATAAATGGGATTTTAGTATTCATAAAATAACTTTAACTTGTGTTGGTGAGCATTAGAACCATCTGATTGTCACAAGTTGAAAAAGTTGCTGTCTATAACTAAATTAGAGAACATGTACCATTTGCTATGTACATTTTGTGAGCAGATTGAGTTTCTTTAGATGATACTCTCCTCCTGGTTTGAGAAGCTCTGGCATGCAAATACATTGAATGAAATATGAAGCACAGCTTTTCAGGGTTGCTCAATGAAATCTCAAAACTTTGTGAGGCTAGAAGAAGGGGGATCTGGGGGTACTCCTCCAGGGAAATTTTTAAGGGTCACACCCTATAGATTACTGCAGAATGGCCCTGGAGGCATCTCATACCTCAGTATTTTGATTTGATATTTTGAAATGGCCTACACTTGCCCTAAATCCATTGTTGCCCAGAATTAAAAATCTACTGACATACATATTCCAGTTTTCTTAGAAACTACAGCCTTATGTTTATTCTCAATTTTCTAAGCAAGGGCTGGTAAGAAGAGGCCTTGCCAGTTACTAATAAGGGGCATAAAAAGGTCTGAATCAAAGAAAGTAAGATTATTTGAGGGCTTTCACATTCAGAAATCAATGCATGTGGCCAAAAACTTGCATGATAAGAGTGGGGCTGAATGCTACACATTGTTTCTCTCATGAGTAATCATGAAGGGTACTGTGTGACATAGAGATGTTTCCTCTTCAAACGTTATAAACCAAAAACAGAGTTATTTGAAGATGAAGATGGAACAGCGAAAACAACATAATTGGAGAACGAAGTCATTTAAAAACAAATTGTTTGAATGAGAGAATCGAGAATAGAGTTAATTAAAAAACGAATTCAGTCATCTTCAGTTTCAAGATGAGCTCAAACAAAGGATATGAAAAAGGACAAAAGAGAGTAATGGGAAAACCTTTGTTTTCGTTTTGGCCAAAACGGTGTGGGCCAGAGCAATTATTCATTATTATTACTCTTTAATTACAACGTTGGCACGAAAAAGGTATGAAAAAGGCCAAGCATAGCTAATAAAAGCCAACTATTTATAAAAGCCAGCAATTGGAACGGCTCAAGAATAATGGAAACTGAATGATTGAAAAACTGAGACATTTGAAAACGGAGTAGTGGAAACAAGGATTGGATGTCAAACTTCCGTTTCTAAAAAGAGTTTCTCAAGTGGGTTGACCTATCAGCATCCTGTAATCGCGCTCTTCAAGAGAGATATTTATCACTGGGCAGGTGAATAATCCCTCTCAAAGATAGCCTCGGTGTGTGCCTCACGCCCTATCACGTGGCCCCCCATTATGATCCCTGTTATTCGGGAAACTACAGTCGACAGTAGTAGGATCGTGTCGTCCTGATTGAGTATGTACCTGGAAACGTGATATTTACATTGTTTCAACTATTGTAAAAAATTGGGAGATTGGGGCAAAGCTACGACCAAAAAAGCGCGAAATCATGTGTATACGCCATTTATCAAAGTTCAGAAAACATTTTGCATTTAATTACTCAATCAATGAATGGAAAATTGGATAAGAAAATGTCTCACCTGAAACAACGAAGTAAGTGTCTGCCATTTTGCGAAGGTTGTTGTCGGTACTCTTTTTTCTCATAATTATTTTTTAAAGGGGCAAGCATATTTTAGCTGCTAACCTAGCAATTTTAGGCACATATCATGCATGAGGAGTAAGGATCTTGGCATAAATCGCCCAGTTTTCAATTTGTTTTGCCGTGAAATAAAGCTGACTGACTTGGCCTAAGTTTGCCCTGATTGGGCAAATGAAAACGGCTGTTTTAGTTTGATAGTTGTTTTGCATTAATTGTCAAAAAGAAGCCTGTGAATTTTGAATTGTCAAATATCTTTAAACAAAAATACTCTAAAGCAAATTTGATAAATTTTGAATGCAATTTTCGACTAAAATATTGCACTTTGTCAAAGCTATTAATTTTACCCTTGTTTTGACTCTTGCGAAAGTGACAATCTTGCATGCGCCAGATCCGCGGATAAAAAAATTCAATGAAACATTGGCATGCAAGGATGTTTTCAAGGTGCTTGCAAGTGTTTAATCACTTATTTTATTTTTTATTTTTTATTCGTGTGTGCTAATATTTACATACGGAAAACATACCCAATCAGGGCAACGCCAGAAATTTAGGCCGTCAAGACAACTAAAAAGTATCACAGCTTTTTCAAGAAACTTTGTAAAACCAATTACCTGATCTTTTGAAATATATATCTGAAGAGCCTGAAGGATTTTGTCATTGTCAAGTTTTATGTCCAAGTCTATGCGAAATGGACAAATTTAAATTTGTATCTAAGTATACTCAATCAGAGCGACGTGACCCTAGCTAGCTTGTGCTCAAGCATGATTTTAGGGTCAAGAATTTACTCTCTAGAGATAATTCTTTGGACTGAATTATGTTAAAATCGACTGACTGGGGGAAGTTTTAAGAGGTTACATTTCAATCCCACACTCTTACTTAGAAGTTTGACTAACTACAAGGAGGGGGGTCAAAATAATTGAAATTTAATCAAACAAAATATATGATTGACCCAATTTCGTGGAACGCTTGAAAGCGCTTTTGCAGAAATAATTTCTGTGCACACATAGTGAGACAAATTGACAAATACTTTGCCCATTAGAAACTTGCTGCACACATTGGATCAAAGCTGGACAGTGTACACACAATGCACACTTCGTCAGCACTCTTGCACACATGGCACACATTCATATTTTGCTATTGCAGTGCAGTTCTCGAAAAGTTCTACTGCAGTTCTGGAATACATGATAACCAGACAACAGTAAGATTAAAATAGAATGTCTTTTAAAAGTATCTCAATGAAAAATGAACCACGCATTTAATGTACAGTTTACAAAAAATGGCAAAAGGTTACCTCAGGAGATAAAATTGGAGTATCATCAGCCATTTTCTCGAATTCACTTGCAACCGAGGATGGGCACGAGCTAGCCTCACACTGAGTTTTCTTCTCATGATAAAAATACCTCCCCCGTCTTTTCAGCGCCTGAAATTCATTTTTCAGGAGGGGGGGGGGGGGGGGGGGGCAAAACCCACAAAAACAAGCAAATGACAAAATTTACCGACAAAATCGTTGAAAATGTGTCAAGGCCGATTTCCATTTGAAATTTTTTGTGCGCGCGGGCGTAGCGCCCAAATCTGAGCATGCGGAGAGTTGAGACCCTGTCAACTTTCTGGCGCTCACAGCGGACGCAAAATCGAGACCACTTGATTTTAACTACGCATGCTCAGATTTGGGCGCTACGCCCGCGCGCATAAAAAATGTCAAATGGAAATCTTCATACTCAGATATAATTATTCTCTTCAAGTGCCAGAATAGAACAACGTTTAACAACGAGGAATTAAAGTTGGGAAAAGTTGTAAAGAGACCAAAAAAATCTGGAAAAGCAAAAAAAGCAACTAACGTCTTTAAAATGTTCTGTCGGGATTAACTACTTGAACGGAAGCTTATAAGATCTTCGAACACAGTCTTTGCAAATTATTGGAAGGAAGCATTGCTTCCCTGACCCCAGTGTCTACGGACCTGTTATTTCCAAAAGTTTGTCAGGGCAAATCTTGCATGGTTGTCACAACGTCAGCAAATTTTTGAATTAAAGACTAGCATAGTCAGACCATGCCAATGGAATTATGCCAAAATTTTGTCGAAGAAAGCCACCAAAATTTGGCGTAAGTACCGATGTTTTATACCTAAGATCTTTGGCAAGTCATTCATGTTTTATACTGGAGCAAAATATGGATGTATTGGAGCAAAAATTTTGTCAGAGCTGAGGGTGTTGAACCCTTTTGCTGTTTTGATCTATACTCTAAAATCTATTTGGCTAGCATTAAAATTTTGTACCTTCCTAGAAATTGAGCTTTCCCCCCAACCCACACACACATCCAAAATTTCCGTCGCTGTCTCTATTAATTGCTGCTAGATTTCGAATTGGATTACATGGATTACAGACATGGATTACAACTTCGATACAATGCCTTTTGCCTCAGAACCCTTTTACGTCATCCCTTTTCCAGTAGAGTCCAAAGAAGTGTTCATCAGGCATTATCAGGGATCAGGATACAGGGGCTTTAGCTTAAGCCTCCCGATAATTTCCAAAATGTACATAAAGCCATAACGAAAATCGCCCTGCTCTTAGCTTTTAACATGTTTAGCCCCCCTCCCCTAAAAAATATTTTAGCCCCCCTAGTCTGTAATATGCTCTGCGGTCCGTGTTAGGGATGCCGTCCTAAATATAACTGATTATACTTTTGTCGTTTTTTCACGGAAAGGTGCAACTTTAAAGTCTTATAAATTCTAAACTAATTGGAATTTTGCAAATAAGCTACTTGCACATAATAAACTAACTTTGAGGCCCTTTAACTTGAAAGGGAAACATATGATCAATAAAAATGATTCTTTGGTTAAATTGGAAAAAATCGGGCAAAAATAATGAAACTTGGCTCATACAAGCATTGTATTGTATCGTATCGTATCGCATCGTATCGTATCGTATCGTATCGTATCGTATCGTATCGTATCGTATCGTATCGTATCGTATCGTATCGTATCGTATCGTATCGTTTCGTATCGTACTCTATCAGATTGTATTGTATTGTTTAGACTATTTGATGTTAGTTTTTACAATAGTAAAAACACACTTATTAAGACTAACATAAAGCAATTTCAAGGTTTCATAAGACAGATTATTTACTGCAAAACGAGCACGCGCACTTGTTATCAAGGAACCAAGTTTCTATCAAATTCTTGAATTGTCTAGTATTTTGTGCTGTCTTTATTGATTCTGATCTTAAACATTTCGGAAAAGAAGGTGAATTTCAGAAAAATTTTGGATCAGGTTTCTCGATCTATTTCCTAAGCCAAGCTGTTACTCGTTGTACAACTTTGACGATAACCGATTTCTTTGGTTTTATTTCCCATATTCAAATTTATATATGTCTGCTATGGTAAAAACATAGCAATCAAGCCAAAGCTAAAGGCATTTTTAAGAGATTACCAAGCACAGTAACTCACATAATGATAAACTACATTTATTTACACTTTTGCCTAAAATTTTCCTTTAGCTTTGCAGAAAAATGGAGGGAGCATGGCCCCCCCGCCCCCCCTTTTCACCGGCTCTGTGATCTGATGCCAGTCTTGCTTTTGGAATGTTAAGGGGGTTTTTGAGTGGAAAGTTATAACCTGTTGTTTTGGATACAAAATAGTCTTTCATGAAATTAGGATTAAGGTTGTTAAGTGTTTTATAAACTTCGAGCGCCAAAATTCTAACTATCTGGATTTGTATGGTAGTTTCTTTTGAGTTAGCAAGTGAATCCTTGTACGAAGATGAATAGTCCTAATAGGTTAGCCTTAATGCCATTTCGTTAATTTTCTCTTGCTTATCCTGACTTCCTTTACCACATAGCATCCATATCAATTGACAATAATCGAAGAGACATATTATAAATAAATTCGTAGTTATCTTTTTTTCTCTGTCGCCCATAAATCTTACTTATCTTTTTCAAGAATTTTACTGTTCAGCTGCTTTTTTGCAGATCTTATCGATACGAACATCAAAGTTTAAATTTTTCATCGATCTGAACATCAAGCAAAGTAACGCTTTTCTCTATTTTGATTGCAAATTCTTTGTGAATTTCAAATTCACTTGAACATTTATCTTTGCTGCCGATTGTGATTGCTTGAAATTTAGAGGGATTTGCAATCATTTCATTTGATTTAAACCAATCAAGACATTCTTTAGTGTTAAGTTTTGCTAGTCGCAATAGTTCATCAGTATTTGTTGCAGTAACAGATATCGTGTTGTCATCAGCAAAATTACATAGTAACCCTTCACTAAGGCTGTAAAAATGCCGTTGAGGAAAATATTAAAAAATAAGGGTCCAAGTATTGATCCCTATGGCACTCCTTGCACAAGTTTACCCAAGGAGCAGCAATGACTTTTCACTTTGTCTCTCTTCTTTCTATTAGACAGATAGTTTTGTATGAGTAAAAGATAATTTTTTTCTTTACCATAGGCATGTAGTTTTGCTAAAAGTAGGTTTTTTTGGTAGACAGTCAAAGGCTTTTGGAGAGCAGCAATATGTTTGTTCCTTTCAAGTTCTGTTTTTCAGTCTACAATAAGTTTAAAAAGAGCGTGCTGGGAAGAAAAGTGTTTTCTATATGCGCATAAGAATTTTTCTTCAAGAAATGGAGGAAGTTGAAGCTCAAATGCCTTAGAAAGTGTTACGAGCAGACTTATGGGTCTATAAATTTCCTTAATGAAAGAATTTTTTTTCTTATAGACAGGGAAAACTATAGCCTTTTTTGAAAAATTTAGAATTGTACTTTGAATAATGCATTTATTCATGATGTTCAAGAGGGGCTATAAGATGATATCAACTGAGATCTATACGAATTTTGCATTTATCATGTGGTGCCCGTGTGCTTCTTGGTGATTTAGCTTCACAATTATTTGTCTTAGGCTTTCTTTGGTTATCGGTTTGAAGCTTAAGGTTGAGTTACTTGTTAGGAAGTTGTTGGTTGTTTTGTTCTTTAAAGTATCTTATTATTTCAGTTATTGTTGAATAATATGGTTTTATGTAAAAAAATATGGTTTTGATTTTTTCCAAAATGTTTTTTGAATGATCCGACATTTTTGAAGATCGATTGATAAAAAAATTGTCGATTTTTTCAAAATATGTCAGTTCATTTAAAAGATGCTTCAAGAGTTTGAAATGTTCTGCTTATGTCACAAACCAAAAGATCAGAATGGAATAATTCATATCGAAAAGTGATCTTGGTTTGATATTGCAAGCGCATTGCAATTAGAAGCGTTTAAAAGATGTTTTGTCTCCTCCCATTGAGATAGTCGACAAAGTTTAGCTGTGAGTATTAGCGTATTAGCGAAAACGGAGTCACCTAAAAGTGTAAATTGCGCAAGAACAAGCATATGGATGAATGTTCGAATGACATGTTTTGACATTAATATTATATAACAAACATACAATCGCAAAAAATATCAAACGTGTTGTTGGGGTCTTCTAAAGTGTTGTTTTTGAATCAGGAAATAATAAAGAAAGTAAATCATTCCTAAGCGGATTAGGGTCTAGATTTTGTTGTACAACATTAACGGCCTTGTGCTTCAGATAACTTGCCTAGATTTTCAATGAATTGACCTGCACAATTTTCATAGAAAATCTCATAATTTAAGCTTTTCTTACCTGCTAACCAGGTTTGATAATGGCAATTTGACAAAAGCAAAATGATTTACAGTTTTCGCGAATATTGAATGCAATATACTGTGAAAAGTTAACCCAAATTAATATCAAATTCATTAATTTTAGAAATAACAGACCAACACAGAAGCCAAAGCAATCGCAAAGACACGATCACATACTTTTTCATGGAAATATGCGATGGAACTGACAAATCCACAAACGTAGTATAAGATGTAACCTTTTATCTAAATCTGAAAACGAAGAAAAATCTTGAAGGAGGCTGTGCGAGTGTCGCTGTACTTTTTAGAAAATGAATCTCAATTTTTTCATTTTCAAATGCAGCGAAAAACGGCCTCATTGAATCAAGTTTGAAAAATCAAACAAAAATGCACGATACAAGGCAGTAGAAAAATTGTCGATATAAGCTTTTGCTCACGTCACGTCGTGTTGTGAGCAAAAATTAATTGATACAATCCAATAACGACTTTGAACAAGAATGAAATATAAGTACAAAGTTTAGAGCATAACTTGTCATCAGGTGGAAAGAATAGGGCGAGTGACGGTGAAAAAAAGATTAGAAAAATGGAATTCAAAGATTAACTATATGAAACGTGGTAGGAATACGTCGTATAATGTGGTGGAAATATGTGAGGGGGTAGAAAGCGTATAGATGTGATAAGGTATAAAATAATAATAGCTGGATTAAGAAAGATACGAAAATTGTTTATTTAGACC